CAAAGAACTCTGGGGTTGGGCTCTCAGGCTAAGACCTTGGGGCAGCCCCCACTCCCACCATCTCCCATAAGAAAAGACCATGAGTGAAGTCCTTAGAGGGGGAGAGAACTTCTCAGGCAGGAGAGGCCAGAAACTGCAGCCAGATGGAAGATTTGGAAACTTTTCTGGACAAAAAATGTAGCAGCTTGAGGACTCCTTCTCTGGCTTCCTGGCAGTTCAGTCCTTGAGCATGCAGTAATGGCTTGATCAAGGTGCCCTGCTAGCTATGCTTGGCTGCAGCCCTTCCCTGGGGGAGGGTGGCAGCACCAGATGGACTCTTAGCAGTGAGGTGGGGAGAGCATGACATAGTGGGGTCTTAGGGTCTCCCCTCCTATCCCTTCACCAGTTATATAAAGATGCCCCCCAAACGCACATGGAACATACTCCAGAATAGACCACAATTAGGCCATAAAGCAAGCCTTAACAAAATCCAAAGCATCGAAATATTACAAAGCATCTTTTCTGACCATAAAGCCACAAAAGTAGAAATCAACAACACAAAAAGCAAGGAAAAAAAAATCAAACACATGGAAACCGAACAATACCTTACTCAAAAACTACTGAGTTATAGAAGAAATTCAGGACAAAATAAAGAAATTCATAGAATCAGATGAGAATGAAAACACATCCTATCAGAACCTTTGGGACACGCAAAAGCAGTGCTCAGAGGTCAGTTTATAGCAATAAATGCACACATCCAAAAACAAGAAAGGCTCATAATCAATCAAAGCACTAACCCTACAACTGGAACAAGCAGAAAGAGAGCAGCAAAAGAAGCCTACAGGTGCCGGAAGGAAGGAAATAATAAGAATTAGAGCAGAATTAAATGAAATAGAGAACAGAAAAACTACTGAAAGAGTTAACAAGTCCAAAAGCTGGTTCTTTGAAAAGATCAACAAAATTGATAAACCGTTGGCCAAACTGACAAAAGAAAAACTGGAGAGGAAGCAGATAACCCGTATAAGAAATGAGATGGGTGATATCACAACAGACCCAACTGAAATTAAAAGAATCATAACAGAATACTACGAAAAATTGTACTCTGACAAATTTGAAAACCTAGAGGAAATGGACAAATTTCTAGAAACTCACTACCTACCTAAATTAACACAAACAGAGGTAGAACAACTAAATAAACTCATAACAAAAGAAGAGATTGAAAAGGTTATTAAAAAACTGCCAACAAAAAAAAGCCCTGGCCCGGATGGCTTCACTGGAGAATTGTACCAGACTTTCGGAGAAGAGATAACACCACTTCTACTAAAGGTATTTCAGAGCACAGAAATGGATGGAATACTCCCAAACTCATTCTATGAAGCCAGCATAACCCTGATACCAAAACCAGGTAAAGACACCACAAAAACAGAACACTACAGACCAATATCCCTAAAGATGCCCCCGAGCCGACCCATAGTGCTCAGCTCTTCTGAAACCCCACAAGAATCTCTGCACCAGCCTGGATCTCACTGGCAAAATCTCATGCCTTCCTCAGGGGCTCACGGAATGGCCTTAAATTCCTGTACTGACCCTGTACTTGCATGTTCTTGTTTGCCATTGAGTTAATTTCGACTCATAGTGACCCTGCAGGACAGAGTAGAACTGTCTCATAGGGTTTTATAGGTTGAAATCTTTATGGGAGCAGATCACCAGGGCTTTTCTCCCTCAGAGAGGTTGGTGGGTTCCAACCGCTGACCTTTTGGTTAGCAGCCAAGTGCTTAACCACTGCATCAGCAGGGCTCCATTTCCTTCCAAAGAAAAAAAAACAAAAGTCATCTCAAACAGAGATTTTCAAGGGCGCGGGTGGCTCTATGCTGTACCAACTTCATGAAATCTGTCTAAAAGGCTGACGAACACACATTTCTGAGAGGCTAATTTTTAACGCCCTTGCATAACTTTATATTTAAAAAGAAAATGCAAACACTCAAGAAATCAGCTCCCTGTGGCAGATTCCCTTGTAACACGAAGAGTCATTCCCCTACTTGATCTTGGATGATTTTTTTAAGATTAGCTTTGCTTAAAGCAGAGCCTACTTGTAACTCCAGGAAGCCTAGAAACGGAGTAATTTTAAGCTACAGCCCATCACAGCAAAAGGCCAATGGTGAAAGGCTTGTTCTCTGGGTCGTTTAAAGGCCACCCCCTCCCAAACTGTAAGCCAAAGTGGCGGCAGGAGGTGGAGGTGGAGTTGCCCACCCTGTGGCCTTCACTTCAGGGGAGGGTAAGTGACCAGGTCAGACATCGAGTCTGCTGTGCCATCCCCTGTGACCGCAGAGCGGGTCCACGGAGGGCAAAACCCACCGCCAAGGGCACAGCCAGCAAAGGGGGCTATGTGTGGATGCAGGGATGTGACTGTTGAGGGTCAACACCCAGCTGCCACCTCCTGAGCCCTGGGAGACTTGGGGGCTGCTGGGCAGACCCTGGTCCGAAAGGCCTGAGGAAGGGTGGGAGGTGTCCTTGCCTGCACTAGCCCTCCCTGCCCTGGGCTCTGACTGGGTCCGAAGACCACCCACCCGAACCCCCTGATGCCTGACTGCTCCAAGCCACACTGAGCCAGATTCCCAGGGCCCAGGTGAGGCAGGTGGTCAGGCTACATCCCCAAAAGACATAGGCCAGGGTGGGGGGAAGGAAGAGGGGGAGAGAGAGAGAAGAAAAAAGAAGAGAGACAGACAGAAGGACAGATAGACACACACACATAGAAGGGGGATAAAAAGAAATGGAGAAGCATAGAAAGTGATAAATGGAAAAAAGAATAGAAAATAAGGGAGAGGGGAAAAAAAGAGAAAAAGGGAGGGAGAGAGAGACATGTCCAAAGATAAAGAGACAGTGAGAGAGAGAGAAGGTGAGAGACAGATACACCTGGGTGGAGGACAGCCCTTGAATGGCCTACTTGACCAAAGAATTAGACAAAAAATAAAGAGAAAAGAAAGAAAACAAAAAAGAGAGGGCGAGATAAAGGGAGGGAACAAACAAGAGACTAACAGCACAGACAGAGCACACACCCACAGAAGGCTAAGAGAAACAGAGAAACGATAAACACAGAGAATGGACAGAAAACGGGGGCGGGGGAAAGGAGGAGAAAAAAAGAGAGAGAAGAGAGAGAGAGAGGGAGAGAGAAACAGGAGAGCAGGAGGGAAGGGGGTGGGGGGGGAGAGCGAGAGACAGACAGACAAAGATAGGGACCGAGATACACCTGAAGGTTATTTCCTTAGGAGACAGATTCACTCGTGGCAGAGGGTGGTCCATGTCCTGGCTGATAGCTTTCCAGAATTTAAATTTTCCCAGTGTCCAGCATGGTGCCTACTAACACCTTGTAGGAGCAGCTCAAAGAGCTGCTGGTGAGAGGGAGGGGCCTATTTCATTATATTCTCATATACACTGTGTATTGTCTTTAAAAACAAATTTTTTGGGGGAAAAACTGTTAATTTGATAGGAAGCAAATTATACCTTGTTTTTATCTTACATTTCTCTGAATTCCAATGAAGTTGATTTTGGTTTTCATTTTCATTAGTTATCAGTATTCTGTGAAATATCTGTCTACATCCTCTGCCCATTACTTATAGAAGTTACTGTGTTCTTATTGATTTGTTATTGCTTTTTATATATTAAGGCCTTTGACTCCTTGTCTTAATTGTGGCAATCTTTCCTCCTTAATTTGCAGTTTGCATTTTACTTTGTTTTAATTTTTCACCTATAGGACATCTTAATGATGATGTATTCCAATTTCCTGACTTTTATTTTACATGCATGATCTCTTGCATTGCTCTAATTTAAAAAGAGGGTGAAATAGGAGGTGGCAGGGGGCAGACGGAGAGATAGAAAGAAAGAGAGAGAAGAGGGTGAAAGAGAAAGAAAAGGAGAGAAGGTAGAAAGAAAGAGAGCAGAGATAGAGAAGAAAGCAAAGGATACATATGGGGAAGTCTGGCCAGCGTCAGACATACAATCAGCTTCCTGATCCTCATGGTATATCTCCTCCAGGCCCAAGGTATCCAGAAACTCTAGATACTACTTGTTCTTCTAACACAGCTTGTCCTCATTATGATCACAGGGACGAATCCCAGAGCAGCCCACTTTGGCCCTTTAATTGCAAACAGGCCACTGCTCTGGTCCTCCTGACAAGCCAGGCCCTCATTCTTTCTTTGGTCAGGGAGGCCATTCAAAGACGACCACCACCCCACCCCCAACCCGGGTCTACTGAGAAGGGTGCCAGGAGGCAAAGGTGCACAGGATGCTCCTGATTTCTCACTAAGAACAGGATGAGGATCAGAATCCCTCTGAGACCTTCCTTTCTGGGAATGATCCAATGTGGTGGGCACAGACAGGGTCCTCAAGAAGATGTTTCTAGATTACGGGATTATTAGGTCTTTTCACCCTGCCCCAAACACCTATGACTTGAGGAATGCATGCTAACTTTGCTGCTAGGGCCCTAAGGGCCCAATGGCGGCCCAGACTCAGGCACCATCTTGGGATTGCAACGATACCCGGTCTTTCGGAGGGCAGTGTCTTCAGGTGCCAAGACAAGTGAAAGACGCACGGGGGTCACCAGGGCTACACCCGCGGGGCCTTCAGGCACAGGCTGGGGTTGGAATTCTCATGCACATTCGTTTCCCGATTGTCTTTTTAGGGGCTCCCCAAAGAGACAGCGGTTTACGGGGCCGCCGAGCGGAGGGGGATGAGATGTCCTGGCGAGGCTAGTCTACAGAAGCAGCACAGCAAGAGACTGGTGATGAGGCTGAGGCCTGTTGCTGCGGGAGGAGGTAGAAGGTGGGGCCCTTCTCCTTCTTCCTCCACGTTGACATCATGCAAAAAGCCAGTCGAAGCTCTTCCTGGTGGCATGCTGAGCCTCTGGCCGCCCGGAGCCACTGTCCCGGCTCTGTGCTCTGAGTACATGTTCCCTGATCCAAAGAGGGCCCCAGACTGGGGGTAGGGAGCCCAGAGGCAAGTAGTGGCCTCCCGAGGAGACTTACGTGAAGGCGAAGGCCACCAGGGCCCCACTGACCACAATGAAGTCGAGAATGTTCCAGAGGTCACGGAAGTAGGCGCCCTGGTGCAGGACGAGCCCCAGGTCGATCATCTGTGGGGAGAGAAGAGGGCACTCAGACCCCTCACCGCCACCCCACGGAGTTGCACCCGCCCTTCTAGCTTTGGGAGAGGGATGGGGGCTCGGATGGAACTGTTCGTCCTCCAGGATGGCACAGCAGCAGAGGATGGGATGCAGTGAGGAGCCCCCGCCTCCATCTCATGAAAGGCAGCTCTGACTTGCCAGGTGTCCTAGCCCCAAACCTTGAGGTCAGCCTTGACTCCTCTTTTGTTTATGCTCCACTCTGACCCCTCAGATAATCTTGTTGGCTCTACCTTCCAAAGTTTCTAAGACTCCGCCCAATGCCCCCATCTGCGGTCCCCACCTGGCCCTGCCCTCATCATTGTCCACTTGGACCAGCGCAGTCTCCTCCTGGTCCCTGGCTCCACCCCCTCCCCACGCAGTTCCCTCAGTGGCCACTAGGGGGCGCCTGTGAGCACTTGAGTCAGGTCAATTCCCTCCTCTGCTCAGAGCCCTCCATGGCTTCCACCTCATTCTGGCCTCAGGGTAAAAGCCCCAAGCCCTGCACGACCTTCCCTCTCCCCTCCCTGCCCTCGCTTCCTCCTGCTCTCCCCTTTGCTCATTCCGCTTCAGCCATCAGGCCTCCTCGCTGCTCCTCAAACACACCAGGCATTTCTAATCCCCAGGACAGCTACTTGTACCAGGGTGGCATTCTGGAGTGTGCAGAAGCTCTTGGAGCCCTCACCTTGATCACCTTGATCACTCACCTTGATCACCATCTCAAATGTAAAGACGCCTGTAAAAACGTAGTCAAAATACCGCAGCACCTGCGTGGGAGAAAAGCAAGGGGGTGGCGGATAGCTGACTTGATCTAGCAGAGCTCTCATGAACCCAGTGTCGCTGGGGTGTGTGGCCTCTAGCAAAGTCCCCAAGAGCAGAGTCTCCACCCAGAGGAGGCAACATGGCTGCCCAGTAAGGTTGGGCAGGGCGTGCACTGCACAAGGACTCCTCTTACCCGGTCTCACAGGCAGTGCAGGTGTGTCATGTTGTGATAGGAGCTCTCCAGCAGATGGCACCAAAGTTCTAGCAAAATCCCTATCAGGACAGCTTGCTTACCAACAGGGAACCAAAACCCAAAAACCAAACCCATTGCTGTTGAGTTGATTCTGACTCATAGCCACCCTATAGGACTGAGTAGAACTGTCCCATAGGGTTTCCAAGGCTGTAAGTCTTTACGGAAACAGACTGCCACATCTTTCCCCCACAGAGTGGTCGGTGGGTTCAGTCTCTGACCTTACAGTTAGCAGTCAAGTGCTTTAACCACCAGGGCTCCTTCTACCAAAGGGATTTTTTTTTTCTGCCCAAAGGCCCGTATGCTCAAGCATAGCAATGATCATGAGGATGGCGCAGGACCAGGCGGGCAGTGTTTCATTCTGTTGTACACAGGGTTGCTACGAGTCGGAACCAACTTGACAGTACCTAACAGCAACAACAAAGCCTCCTATGGACTAGAGGTGGCCCCAGGGAAGTTCAGGGTGACAGTATCCCTGTTGGTGATAGGTGTGGCACCAGAGCCCTCAACCTGCTGAGCCCCCTGTGCGAAAAACTGTTTCCACTTAGTGTCTCCTAAACATGACCAGCCTTCCTGGCCAGACACTGGGGGCCAACCTCACCCCTCCCACCCCACACTGCTGAGCCCTCTTCAGGATGGATTGACTTCCCCTCCATCTTCCCACTGCCTCACCAGGGGCCAGGCCCAGGGTTTCTGTCTGGACGAGCAACGTCCTGTGGCCTGCCCCCTCTCCTGACCATGCCTCTGGTGTGACCGGGTCATGAAGACACGGGTATGCTAACACAGTGCTGGGCTCCTGGTAACTGCAGGGGGCTGACTCCATCAGATTCCCATTTGGGAAGTAATGGCTGACAATTAAGGAGCTTGGCCACCAGATGGCGCCAGTGAGCACCTGACTCAGTGCACAATCCTCCTCTGCACAGAGCCCTCTGTGGCTCCCACTTCTCTTGGAGCACAAGCCAAAATCCTTGTTTCAGCCCACAAGGCCCTGCATGACCTGCCCCATCACCTCCCTGCCCTCGTCCCACCACTCTCCCTCTAGTTCCCTCTGCTCCGGGCCCACCTCAGGGCCTTTGCACAGGCTGTTCCCTCTGCCTGGAACACTCCTACAAAGACCGTGCCTGCTCCCTTCTCGCCTTCTATGGCATGGCTCAATCATCACTTTCCCAGTGAGGCCTTCCTCAACCCCCGTTTAAAATCCCACCTCGTGGCACTTGTGATCTTCCTTACCAAGTCTGTCCCCAGCCCACCCCCAGCATCACCACCTCTGACACACTATCTGTCATGCTTATTTACAATCCCATGGTTGGCCATGTCCCCAGCCGAACTGTCAGCCCCCGAGGGCAGGCCATTTGTCCGTCATGCTCATTGCTGTGCCTCCAGCTCATAGTACAGGTGTTTGTACTATGAATGAAGGAACCACTGCTGGAGCTGTGTTGGGTCCTGCAGGAGCTGGACTCTGTGACCTGTAAGGGCACAACTCATGTCCTTATTCTATGTTCTCATTCTGATTTTCCCTGTGAGGGCAATCAGAGCCTCAGATGGCCAGGGCCGGGGGCTGCCTTCCCGGGGCACATGGGTTGCAAGGGCTGAAGGAACCGGGGAGGCCGAGGTGATGGTGGTAGGAGAGCAGTTCAGGTGCGCTGGGTGGTGGGCACAGCATGACCAAGGGCCTGGCATTCGGGAGCTCTGGGAGCGAGGGACTGTATCATACTGGTACTCCTCGATGTGCAGTTTGGCACTTGGCACATAGTAGTTGCTTGTTAAATAAAGGAATAGATGGAAAGAAGGGAGAGGGTGAGAGAGAAAGGGCAGGCCACGCGGTCGGGTGAATCAGAACCTGGAGAGTCTGTATTCTTAAAGCAGCAGCAGCAGTAACAACAACAACAAAGCTGAAAAGAACAAGTACTGGTGAGGATAGGGAGAAGCTGGAACCTTCATCCATTGCTGGTGGGATTGTAAAATGGTGCAGCTGCTGTGGAAAACAGTTTGGCAGTTCCTCAAAGAGTTAAACATAGAATTAACATATGAGCCAGCTATCCCAATCCTGGGTATATACCCCAAAGACTTGAAATTAGAGACTCAAACAGATACCTGTACACCAATGTCTACTGCAGCACCATTCACGATAGGCAAAAGGTAGAAATTACCCAAGTGTCCATAAAAAAATGAATGAATAAACAAATGTGGTACATACATACAATGGAATATTATTGTTATGGATTGAATTGTGTCCCCCAAAAATGTGTGTCAACTTGGCTAGGCCATGATTTCCAGTATTGTGTGCTTGTCCACCATTTTGTGATCTGATGTGATCATCCTATGTGTTGTAAAGTCTAACCTCTATGATGTTAATGAGGCAGGATTAGAGGCAGTTATGTTAATGAGGCAGGGCTCAATCTACAGGATTAGGTTGTATCTTGAGTCAATCTCTTTTGAGATGTAAAAGAGAATCCAGCAGAGAAGAGAGGGAC